ACGAAGCAGGTTCGCCGCCTCGTTTCTGCCTGACGAAACACTGCAACTTGGAATGCTGTTAGCAGTCTTCACTCCAACATGCCACTGGGATGATCCGAGCTGACCGGGGAGAGACACACTTCAGCTTAGTCTTACATAGTTCAGACACGCTGCGACGACAGTGCAAAAGCCTACCTCTGCTATACCGACATTTGCAGCACCCCGCCTCCGACGAAGATAGTCGTTACTGGAGCCTCGCACGGGAATGATACACGAGGAACTGGGCAGGGAAGTCACTATTTCGTACAGTAACAATGCCAGCACGGATCGCGGCACCCCTTCAGCTGCCGCCACATCTGCAATCTGAGCAATGCACTTACGTTGTAGGCCTGGCACCCTCACCCGAGACCCGTGTATCTTGCCCAAGCGCGCAGTTCCCACTTTTGTCAATTTCCTGTGGCAGGGGTGCCACCCGCCGCAGGTGGCATATTTTCCCACAGCGAAATCAATGCGCTCTGGACAAAGCCAGAAACGGTATTCTTCACTCGATTTGTCTTGGGAGTAAGCGAACACGCAGACGAGACAGGACAAATTCTGCAATCAGCATGGCGAATAGCTTACGAGGTTTCAGCTGTGAAAGGAGTGTCCGAGATTGCCTTGGTCGCGAGGACCAGCCATGAACCCCTATGCCCATGTCGGAAACTGCTGAGTCCGACCCTCATGCAACATCTGCTTGCTTCATGTGAAACGGAACCAAGAGAACCCAGCCTCGGCACGACCGGTGTAGTACTTGCTGAAGTCCTTCATATCCTGTCTCTCCTGTCGAGTTTTGCTTTGCGCGCTTGACTCCCGACCTCGGGTCTTCGGAAGACCCAACAACCGGAAGAATCTGTGTGCTGGTGTTGCCGGGGGTTCGGGACTTTGGGGACAGGATCCTTTCCGCCCCGTTTTGTTCAACTACATCAGGCAGCGCCTGCAGTTCTAGGTTCCTGCGGCCCCTGCTGGCTGCAGTTCTTGCAGTCCTAAAAGAGCCCGAAAATTTTAGAGGGAATGAAACTCAACGCACATGCTAGTACACACTTTCTCTTGCAATTGTACGGTCTCGGATGCTCTCTTTCTCTCAGCGAGAGAGAGAGAGAGAGAGAGAGAGAGAGAGAGAGAGAGAGAGAGAGAGAGAGAGAGAGAGAGAGAGAGAGAGAGAGAGAGAGAGAGAGAGAGAGAGAGAGAGAGAGAGAGAGAGAGAGAGAGAGAGAGAGAGAGAGAGAGAGAGAGCGAGAGGGAGATAGAGATAGAGAGAGAGGGACGGGAGAGAGAAAGAGGAATGGAGCGAGAGAGGTGAAGTAATTAGTTGTAGGTCCCCAACCCTCTACCCGCAGGCGACCCCATAAGGGCAGCACTACTACCCCTGAGTTTTTCGGTAGTCTTTCCTCTTTTCAACGCCTTTTGGTGTGCATTCCGTGCCAGATTATCACTGAAAAATGTTGTGTTGCCGGGGAGGTTTAAGAAGAGGGAGAAGGGATAGCATTTGCAGCCCATGGACGCAACCGTGACCAAAATCGGGAAGCGATGTTCTGGCAAACGACACCCTCGCGAACAACCAACCCCGCATGGATTTGCAACAGAAGGAAGCTTTCACCGGCAATGATGGGCTTCAACCCTCCAACTTTTAGGGACCATGGTAATCAATGATCAACGGCGACCGACACCAGAAACCCAACTCTGCTGATGCTTGCCGAACTGCACGATGCTGTTGCGGCATGCAGACGTGATCCAGATCCTGCCTTGGAGAATGGTGAGTAGCGAGGATCTACTTATTGTAGTACAATAGTATACTCTAGGTATACTATGGTATACTATATAGTATAGTATATCGTTCCGTTTCGGCATTCAGGGAACACATGAGAAGCACCACAACAAGTCAGGCACGTGATAGCAACATCCCAGCGGCTCATTGCGAACCGACATAAAATCTCCACAGCAGATCAGCAAGTCGATGCCGATGCTTTGCCTTTCCAGCTTCCTGCTCAGAAGGGCATCTTTGCAGAAAGCTCTACATTTCCCCTTTCCCTTGTGTGTTGATGCTCAATCACCGCGGCTAAAGATTGCTCCCTGTTCTGGCTGCGATGTGCGGGAAAGCAGCTGCTCAGAAGTCCATGTCCAGCAACAGTAGCAATGCTCAAATGCTAGCGTCGCTGCCCACTCTGTAGCACAAGCTAAGCTATCGTGTAGAACGACGTCCTCACCGTTTCGTAGACGCGGTCCAGTTCTCCATGGCAGCACCCTATGACCTAAGCGCCGGGGTCTGAGTCATGCTCTTCCCCAGGTATTATGCCCATGTACTCACAAGCAGCTGTTGAAACATCCAGCAGCTTGTATGCGCTAACGGAGCCCAAGGGGGTACCGCATCCGACTTAGCTGACTTAGCCTCCCTTCGTAGGCATCAACACTACACGGGTCTGACTGGCTAGCCCACACTATGCACACGTAATCTTCTTGTCTTCGTCATTGTCGTCGTCAGCACCACCTCCGCTCTTCAAGGGCATGTTGTTTAGTTAAAGCTTGTCCGGGAGATGCTCTGACTAATGCAAAATCTGACTCAGTGGCTTGTTGCGCTGCGAACCTGCCATCTCGTAGTCGCGGGTTGTGTCGCAAGTGGTGTCTGGACGACTAGATTGACGAGATGTTCTACAAATTCTACAATCAAGACAAACTTTACACTTCGACCACGAAGCCGTGGAAAGGAACTCTCGATGTTGCAGAAGAACATTGGTTATCTTCTCTCTCCTATATCTCGGATGTGTAACAGGCAAAGCTTCACACACCACACACACACACACACACACACACACAGACAGTCAGGGTTTTCGACGCTCACACTCAGGGTTTAGGTTTAGGTTTAGGTTTAGGGTAAAGCAGATGAACATCCCAAACCAAGACGCTCCGATCCTCATCCTCGAGCACCCGGCGTGCTCCTCATACGTCCCGTTGGCACAGCAAACTGATCGTGCATGCAACATGGCTCCAAGCTCTCGGGTTTCTCTTCCTGGGCGGTTTACTACAGTCTACCGGAGTTTAATGTTCAATGCAGCTTACGACCTACCACATCTCTCCCAAAAGAAGCCCGGACTGAGAGGCATGTATGTGTGCATATGTGTGTATATATATATATATATACTCATACATATATATATATATATATATATATATATATATATATGTATGTGGCGAGCCTATAAATAACTATATATGTATAGAGAGAGAGAGAGAGGGATATGTGTATATATATATATATATGTATATACATAAGTACATATGTGCATACGGACCTACATACATGCATGTATACATACATGTGTGTGTATATATATATATATATATATATATAGAAATTATACGTGTATATTCTATATAGACATAGATGTCGCTGTCAGCTGCAAAGGCCATCTCGTTCCCCCGCCTGGCAGAGTCCAAGTGCTGGTGCTCCGCAGGTGGGCCATGGCCCGTCGAAGCTTCGCGTAGCACTTTTTAGGGTTTAGGGTTCAGATCCCAGAGGGTCCAAGTACTCCCCATTATAGGACTTTGGGGCCTTTTTAGGTATCAAAAACCATAAACAAGAACTACTTGGGACCCTTAGGGTATGCTTTGATTATCATCAAGACTACGGCTTACGGTTCGAATGAGACTATGTTTATGGTCAGCTCTTTTCATGACTTAAGATCACGAACACAACCACTACACCATCAGAAAGTATGATACTCCAGCGTTGTGGCAGTGCAGATGCAACATGTGCTGCTAGTGTTGCTACGCTCGTTGTGGTGCTTCTTGCTATAGTGGCTGTACTTTCTCTCCACCGTTACCACCGTTCAAATGTAATATCGCACACTTCTCAATGTTAGCAGCTGCAATGTCAGCAGAATCCTCAGCGGTATCGTTAGTACTAAGAATTCCAGTTGTTCTTAGTACTGCTACTAGGATGGTCGTTCGAATCAGCAGCAGCAGCAGCAGCAGCAGCAGCAGGAGAAGGATTGGTAGAAAGCGCATTGGAAGTAGAGGTAGAAGTAAAAGTAGCAATTTTACAATTAAACTAGAAGTAGCAGTAGCGGGACCAAGAGCAGGCAGGAGTAGTAGAAGTAGTAGTAGTAGTAGTAGTAGTAGTAGCAGCAGCAGCAGTAGTAGTAGTAGCAGTTGCAGCACCAGTAGCAGTAGCGGTAGCTGGAGCAGTAACCGTTGCCGTAGCAGCAGTAGGAGGAGGACGACGTGTCGCAGTATTGGTAGGCTCAGTAATGGTGTAGTTTCTTATCGGTACTATTACTTGCTACTGTTACAGTTGTTGTTTTATTTATATGTGCTACTACTTTTCAATTGTTCAATACTTGTGGCAGCAGTAGTCGTCGTCGTCAGTAGAAGTCAATGTAATCATCATGTGTAGTACATAGCCGACATCCAAACTCACCTTTTGTGCTGCCGGGAGATATTCGCACTTACGACCTATCACGACTATAACTTAACAAGAACTTGAGTCATTTCTAGATTCTTGCTGATCTCGCGAGCGCAGCCGCGAGCCCCACCTACAAGTAGCTGCACTTCCCCGTCGGCACTTCTGCATGCTCGTTCTTCTGCGTAAACTTCAAAAGTATCTCGGCAATCTGCTACTGTAATGAGGCCTGCGAAAGCCTGGCACCCGTGGCTCTCTACAACGGGCTGTCTCGCACTGCCTTTTGAGCAGCGTGTGCTGTGGAACTGAAGAGGAAGCTTTCACTGGAGTTTTGGAAACGTTCCAAGCTTCACCTGCGTCACAAGACGAGAAAATTAATCTGAGATTTTAACTTGGCTTGAGGCTTGTGGTTGATGGGATCCTGAACCTCCAAGAAGGATGCTCCGACCAGAGGGGCAGGACACATCTTCTTGATACAGGGACGACCCAACCACTACATACCTGCCATCGTCGGAATGGTTCTGACCAGGAATCTGGTCACTACAGCTGTTGCGGACTAAAGAGATCGAATGATGCGGCCGGGCCTTCACAGCTTCGACCCACAGAGCTTCAGGGCGACCACTCCAAGAAGCCTTGCTATTAGCTCGATGCCAGTCGTGCTGCAAATGCTCTCCGGGGGCTCAATGCTAAGTCTCAGTGTGTTGTTGCTTCCCGCACTGCAGTGCATGATTCTGCGGGCCTGGCTAGTAAGGTGCAGTAGCAAAGCACTCAAGCAGCAACGAGCAGCGCAAAGGACCTTCCAGCAGTCACTGCTGACTCCGGACTGCTCTGCCTGGCAAGCTGTCGAGCTAGAGCAACTTGCAATGAAAGCCACCACTAGAATTCTGATCCTATTTATATGGCACCACTGGGTAGAAAGCAAAGCTTGCACCAGCAGACCACAGGATACCACAGCCAAATTTGAAACGGTCCCAACACTGCCGTCAGGCAACGCGCCAGCCACGAAGCTTCCAGCTGTTGCCACCGTGGATCGCTGCCCCTGGCTGCCAGCGGTGCCTCCAACCAGGATCCTTGAGGTGTGACATAGGGCCATAGGGAAGCACTGTTGAAAAGGAACGCAAGTCTGAGTTCCACCTTGATCCGGTTTCCTGGAGTCTTGCCTCTGAGGCTGGAATTTTCCTACATGGGAACCTTCGGTTGCCATTCTGGATCTGAGCGCATTGCTTCAAGCCGAGAAGCACTTGACCCAACTTGCACCCAGCCGCGTTGCACTCCACGGGTGACTGCCTGTCCATGGCGCCCATGGAAGTTCGACCATACATCAGCCCGTGGGAAGATTTCCCTGGACGATCAAGTCAAACGAGGAATCTTCTACGGTCACGGTCGCTATGTGACACGAGAGCCCTCGCGACTCGCCAGAGGTACGACCACACACGTCACATTGGAATTTGAGAAGCTTCGCTGGCAGAATCAACATGGTTGGATGCAACCAACTTTGCAGTGCACTGCCCATACTTCGACGTGTGCCCGGGCCGGGCCCAACTTTAGTCTTGCCTTTAGCAACAAGGCTCAAGTGATGCAAACAAGCCGCGGGAAACTCGGGAACGTCTCTGCGAAAAGGCTGAGCATCCTCGTGCCGACGAGAGCTTATGGTAAAACTTACAATCGGTGGCTTGAACTTATAGATCCCTGAGGTCGAATGCTTGGTGAGGCTGACCCCTCACAGTAGGCCAACTAATTTTAGTGGCAGGGATCCTCAACGGTGAGAGTTTTCTTCGGGGCGGGGCCTACTCAAAACACGTCCAAGCTAGTATATAGTAAGACGGGGGGGAGCAATAACCGCCGAGACTATGAAACTGGGCGGTTCATTGTATGAGTGTGCATGAACCCTGTCCCATGTTGGACGGTACGTCTTCTAACATAGCCGGGCAGCTGGACTGAGTAAGTGCTGGTTCGTACTGAAATGTGCTTCATTGGAGAGAAGCTACAGTATAGCTCTGTTGTGCTTTGGGGCCCAGCGTCGCCAGCGTTGACCGTCGATCAATTGTCTCCGTGTAGTGGTCGCCACCTACGAATCTGGGCGAATGACGGTCAACCCCCTGAATGAAAATCGCCGGAATCGAGACTTTCCTCGCAACTTCCCGGAGTGCTCTCCGTGACAGTACAGGCATGAGTGCTAAACTCTGTGTTCACGGAATACACAAAGTGCCAATTGAACGAGCGAGCCTGCATATGCCAACCATTCTTTGAAACGAATTCATTCGCAGCACGGCTTTCATTCAGAGCTCAATGCGAAATCCTGTCGCGGTAAGCCGGCCTGCCTGGGGTGCCCTTTGGCAAGGCGAAACCATGGGGTCCACGCGCATGGTTCTCGAAGCGCCAGTCGATCTTCTGAGCGTCCATCTCCTGGAAGGGGCTCTGGAATTTCAGAGCACGCACTGGGTCTCGCCAGGCTAGGGATCGGGAACCCGATGCATCACAGCTTCTGCGGCATGCGGGCTGATAAGACCAGCTGGCTACGACTACTACTACGACTACTACTACGACTACCACGACGACGACAACAACAACTACTACTACTCTTACTCCTGCTCCTACTCCGACTGCTCCTGCTCCTACTCCTGCTCCGGCTGCTGGTGCTGCTGCTACCGCTGCTACCGCTACTACCGCGACTACTACTCCTCCTCCTCCTCCTCCTCGCGCTGCCGCAGCTGCTAGTCGTCGCACACCCTTCCCTCAATCTTTATCTGTGCTCGGTCGTCAATGCCCTCATGATCACGAACGTTCTTAATCGATCTGCATGCGGGCGACACTTATCCAACCTGCTGCAGGTGAACATGTAGATTTCCCCACATGCAGTCGGCAAACACAAAGCTAGGCTGCAAGAACAGTGAGATCAACTGAAGCCTCAGTAACTCAGAGTCTGTTGTAGCGGTGGGCCATGCAAGGCTTTCACGATTCTGTTTCAAGCAACCTGCATGAAGTCGACGATGGTGTCGCCAGGGACTTCCTGATCCTCTGCGCCGTTCTGAATAAGTACACGACAATCAGTGTTGTACCTGGAGGCTTCAGGGAAGATGCTTCTGTGCAGGGTCCGCAGCTCATTGATCTAAAGAGTACCTTGTCTAAAGTCGAAAAGCTCAGGTGGGTGGCACAGGTGAACAAAAACACCTTCGCTGCTTGGAGCATGAATGGATGGTTGATCCCTGGGAGTCATTGTGTGCAGAAGTGCAAGCTCAGTCAACACGGCACTCTGACTGCCGAGAAGCTGCGTGTTGGGAATTGCGAGTTCCTTGGCGTAGTCCTCTCTGGACATACGCTTCCTGAGCACAGGCTGTGCTATCCTGCGTGAAGCCCGCAAACAACAATTACTGCTTGCTTTGCTGGTGAGGAAGCACCACGTCACGTAAACATAAGAATTGATGTACTATAGGTACAACAGGCACACCCCGACACGCGCAACAGACACGTGCGGGCAGTCAACACAGAAAAGCGACCTCTTGAATCGTGCCATATGGGTAAACATCAAACTGCTCATACATGTCGCTAGGGCTGGGGTAGGTGCCAGTCAAAATTGCTTTGACCATCGCCTTGATCCTAGAGCGTAGACACGGCCGGGTTTTCCATATGCTTCGGCTGGCTGAGAGTGCAGGAGGCGGAATGAATGAGCTGAGGGGACTCTGTAAGCCTCGCCTGCATCCGCTTTTGCGACAAAGATATACGCATTATTAATTTTCGTTGCGATACAATGTGAGATGCACTGTTGCGCGAGTGTAAACTTTGCCTTCAGGGCTTTACGTACGCTACGACTTGTACAACCAATACCATTTATTGCAGATTCTGCTCTTTTTTCCATATACATACCCTGCACATTTGCTACCGCGCAATAGAATGCTCGCACTGTTCATTGATGCGTTCCGTTACAGGCCACATGTGAAAACAACGGGATTGACGTATCTATATACACGCGTGTGTACGTAAATACAAATTAAATAAATACAAATAAAAATATACATATATAGTTAGATATGCTTATATATACACACATACATTTATGTGTGTGTGTATATATATATATATATATATACAAATTTCCTCCTCCGATTGCTAAATCATTTAAAACCCTGGAGCCAACAAGAGTTTAAAGGGTCAAGAATGCAGTATGATTGGAGTTATTCGGATGAACCTGGGGATCCTCCAAGCGTCAAGGGCTTGGGGCCTTGTGGGACGAAAGGCTAAAGGCCTGAGGGCTCAGGGCTTAAGGTGCCTGTCTGTCCAGCGGGCTAGTTGTTAGCAAGTGCGTGCTTCATAAAAAGGAAACCATATTATTTACTGTAGATATTAGATACTATAGATCCCTATTTTATAGTAACTTATGTTAAGTTCCTGGACACTTGAATTTATGAGTTAGTTGGTTCTTGAGTCGTGAACTAAGTAACTAAGTAAGTACTGAATAGCCGGATCCAAGTCCGAATTACCTTGAACCACAAAGGCTCCACAAAAGGCATTCTTAGTCGATCAAAGGTTTTGAGCTTAGGATTGAGTGTCTTAATTGCACAAGAGCCGTTTCCAATTTTAATAAATAAACTCAGGGACCGAAGATGCTAAGACTGAGGCTGAAATATGAAAACTATTTACGTACGAAAACAGACGATGACATGGTAAAGTACATGCTGAGATCAGAAACAGGTCTGGCTCGAGGCCTTTATGTTGTTCCGCAGCCGTCGTAAATATCATGAAGCCGAGCATCAAGGAATTGAGAGGTTCGGCCTCTGTCGTGGGCCTGAAGCCAGTGTAGGGGCCGCAAGATTGTTGAAGCTTCAGACGCCGGCTGGGCTTACCCGGGCTTTCGTGACAAACCATCCAAGTTAATCTTCCACGCTGCCTGGAGTGGAGCAGGCCGTGGAGGCTGCAAATCGCCTTCCATCGGAGCATGTCGCAATCCAGTCCAATGCAGGGAACCCTTTTGCCGGAGGAGAGGCCTGGACCTGGTGCCCCGCACGGACCTGCAGGAGCAAGGGAACGCCGGGGTCTCGCGTGGGCCGCGCCACTGTGCACGGATGACTCCAGGGCCTGTTCCAAGCAGCTTTGACCACCCAGGCAATAGCCGATAGCTCCTGCATAGCCACTTTTCACCTCCGGCTTGATTCAGGTGTACATCAGGATATAAGAGGATCACGAGACGCGTTCGTTGGCACGTCGTGTTTCGGCACTCACACAACGTGTTTGAGGAATCTTGTGGCACAGTACTAATCAACTACTGTAACCTCGACCAAGGCACAGCCGGATGCGCGAAAGCCTTCTGCAGAAATGCATCCATAAGCCCTCGCCACTTGCCTTCACTCTTCACTGGGAAGGCTCTTCGCCGAACAGAGCATCGGGCAGCTTGGAAAAGTGCCCCCCGAAGTCATCACCCAGTTGGCTGTTACCCAATCACAACTCGGCTCTGGATTTCGGGGTTCCAACACTAGCGGCCGCCAGGGGAGGGTCTGCCAAAGCCTCTGTGTGGGTCTTGCTGGAAACGCTCTTAGGGACCACGCACCGGTCCAACCGATCGCAGACTCCCGAATATCGATCAGCCTACGCTCACATAAGCTTGCCATAGCCCGAATACACCTAGCTTGCCATAGCTCTCACTCCTTGAAAAGAATGCCCGAGCTCTGCAGTGTCCCAGAGTCCAAAAAGTTAAATGGCTCATGAAGCCCATGAGAGACAAAACCATGCTCCGGAGACACCCCTCGGGTTTCGGGTCATCTCACCGGACCAGCCCGGCCTGGTGCCCGCAGCAAGGCATTCATTTGGCGAAAAGCTCCAATGAAGTGTTTGATGCCCTGGTGCCAGCGTGGAAATCTATCTATCTATCTATATCTCTCTCTCTCTCTCTCTCTCTCTCTCTCTTATCTTCTCCCTTGCATGACTTTCGATGTATCGATAGCTCCCTGGACCATCGACGATACCTTCGAACGACACAGCACAAGAGGTCTCAGGACGCGGATGGCTGACGTGCAGAATGCCGTGCGTTCTTGTCCTAGGTGATGTGCTTGTCAGGCGAGCCAGGGAGGCGGGCTCACAATGGCTTCAGGGCTGCGGTGGACTTGACATGGCCATAAGCCTGACCAGTTGGCCTACCATCCAATGCAAATCGACCCAGTAAGTTACAATGTTGCTTGGGTATCAACCTTTAATCATGCCAAGGCACTTGCCAGTGCACCTTGCCATCGGCTTTAGGCACCGCATCGAAGAACACACGTAGCTCCTGCGACCCGAGAACCCACGAGGAGAAACCTTCCGGCACAAACTCACACAAAGGCCACTGCGTTCCACCCGACGGAGAAGCATAATTCCATCTCAAGCAACTGGCTTCACACCCTTGGAAAAAGAGGCCGGGTGTGAGCAAGTCGACTTAGGTTCGGCTTGGTAAACACTTCTGAAATCTTCTGAAATTTTCGTTCCCAGGGGATGCACCACAATCCACAAGGTGTGCGAGGACCCTGCGTGCTCGTTTGCACGACGTGTCGTAAGATAACGACGAAGCCGACTAGAAGTACGGTCCTCGTCGGAGTACTGCGAGTTCTCGCGCTCCATCGGATTATCTTCACGTGCGGCTGCACAAAATCCCTGCAGCCGATCACATGCGGAAGCAATCCAAACCCGTAGTGAAAGTAAGCACAGCAACCAATGCTTGAACGCGCGCAGCAATGAAGTTGCGTGGGTGCCCCACGATGGACCGTGGAGGATCAAGACTTCATCAGGCTTCTTGGATCTTCGATGAGCTGAGTCTGAGTTTGCAATCATGAAGTCGCCCGGGGCTGCTGCTGGCCAGGCCCTAGGCTACTACGATGCTATGACAATGGCCTATGCGGCACAACTCGTCCACATCACACTACAGAATATTAGAGATTGGTCGTGGCCTTGGCAAGACGCAGTTCAGCCCTGGCACCCAGCCTCAAGATCAACAGGACGCCCATAATTCACAGACCTATCCTTGTAGGTGAAGGCCGCTGTCTCTTTGTACAAGTCCTCAAGCAGCTCGGAATTGAACGACGTTTCAATCGCTGCCTGAAAAAGTGCTAAAAGTAAGGCTAATCGGAGTCAGAGAAACCACTGCCAAACCAACGTAGCCCACCTTCGCAAAAAAACTGGCTTGATCGATGTCAAACTGCTTCAATCCTGCGTAGTTGTGATGCACCAGGATCACCGGCGCAGGTGCACTCCCAACGATATATGCAATGCGTCCGTGGATGTAGTCATAGCCATCGAAGGAGATGGGAAACTCCTCCACTACGAGATCTCCATTCTTTGCGACTGCCTTGTCCACGGGCTTGAAACAGCCTTGTGTCCGGTACTCCGCGCCGCTTGGCTTGTCTTGGCCACACATGGCTGCTTGCTTGGCTGGCCAATGCGGTCAGCTGTCAAAGGGGCTTGCTGCTTCATCCTTATGTCGCTGGCATTAGTGGTTCGTCTTTCCACATTGCAAAAAGATGCTGGACGTGTGCGAGTTATGAATGCAAGGGGCCCACATGAGTCTCGGGCTCAAGCCCAATAACTGCTCAAGGTTGCCGCATCATGACAGACAGATGTGATACTTCAAGTGTGGCATGAGCCGGTTGGCACGTCCATTTGACAGGCATGCATCTCGAGATCCACTCTCTCGTGTACTGATCACAGGTGTCATATGAAGCTACACATACGAGTACGGCATGTGCGGCCAAGATCCCAGAAATCCTTTAATTAACGTTCGATACGTAGACTGCAGATCTGGATTCACTTGAGCCCCGGTCAGCAGCTTTGATCGAGAGGCCTCGGTACCCTTCCTAGCAGGCGTAAAATGTTGGACTCAGCTGCGCCCTGCAAGTACAGTACCATCATGTACTATGCGCAGAACCGACTTAGCACACCCATTCATGAGTTACACATGCTTGGACAAACACAATCAACCACCCAGCCATCCCCTCTCAGAGGCATCAACGCAAGGTCTGCAAGGCGCGGCGAAGGCGTGCCACATAGCCTGCAGTTGAGTGCCGAAAAAGGCTGCAGCAATGAACTTGCTACTCCTGCAGGTTTGCTTGTCAGGGCCTGACTGTGATTTCACATACAACAACAAAAACGCGAAAGAGATCGACATGCGCTCATGTTGGATCGATTTAAGTAGACCACACAGGCAACACACAAACCAGCGTCATGCTGTACCAGCTGGCAACGGAGCCTGTGCGGGGCCGGAACACTTGGAAAAGCTCCTGCCAGGTGCCCGCTCCCAGAACCGCACGAAGACTGATTAGATAACACGGACGGATTCTGGATGCCCTCCCTCAGACCGGTGATGATTAAGGAAGCCCAGCCCTTCAAAGGCCCCCCCCCCCCTAAAATATGCCCTATGAGCGCTCCATAATGACACTGGACCCTCAAATCGTCCTCGTCCTCAGATGGCGAAAGGTCGCGGAGCAGCTCTAGGTCTTTGTAGCCTCTGAATTTCACGAGCGGATTTCCGGAGCCGACTTGATGCTGACACGGCCAGGCGAAACTGATATAAACTGATTTTCTGGCCCACTGCTTCAAACGTTGAAATGCTCAGGACACGATGTTTGGCCCGAATCGAAACCAAGCCCAACCTGTCGAGTCGACCATATGCCTCTTATTCAGCAGTGCTAGCGGCTTGCTGTGATCCCTGCATATAAGGTTCTCAACTTCTCATCCGACTCCGCAGGTGTATCAATCTAGAGCAACTGCATAGCTTGAACGCTCGCCCAAAGTTGGTGTCGACTGGTAACGGTAACGGCCACCAATTCCATTCTCCGGAAATTGCGGAGTTCAACAGTGTGGGACGGCATTGCCAGCTAATCCGACGAGGCCTTCGCGCTCTATCGGTGCACAGAACTCTTGCATGTAGAAGTGCAGTCCTAGTAGATTTGAAGACCTCTTTCACGACTCGGCACAACTGGGACCGCAACCGTTCCATGCCAAAGCAGTGCTCAGGGAAGTGAGCCGTTCGGCCTGGGAAAGCTGGCCCAGATCTTGGCCTAATCTGAAGATGTTGACCGAGTGGATCCTGACATTGACAAAGCGCACCCACACTTATCCGATGAGGAGTGCATAGCCGTGGCAGCTTAAAATTAAGACGGCCATTATGCCCCGAACACAAGTCCCTGGAGGGTCCCAACAGAATGGAGTGGGTCAGCGGACTCACGACTCTGGCCTGAAGCCACTCCTCCAACTCCACGCTCATGGGGCTTCCGGGTGGCCTTGGAGAGGGCTCGCAGACTCGCAGCTCAATCGTCTTCGATTCGGAGTTGTGACGTTTGGGACAACAGTCTCAGCTTTAAGCCTATAGGCCTATATTCAAGGCTCAAACTTAAACCTTCTGCCTGTGAGCTTTCGGGCCTTTTTTGCTCCTCGTCTCATGTCACCGAGCTATCGCAGCGAGATGCTGTGATGCCCACGTCTTCGGTCTCACCAGAGCACGCCGTCTGTGCTTAAGGGTGGAAGTTAGTCACGCTTGCTTTGGTTACGCCAGGATACGAAACTACCTGTACATGTTGGCATTTGAAGGCATAGGTCTTGTTGCTTCTGAAACTTTCGTGGCGTTTTTGGGAGTCGCGGCACACGGCAGTCAACAAATCTTCAAACTCTGGAGTCTGGAACCGACTCGCTTGACTTCAGTATACTTCAGTGTCATTTGGGTGGAAAGGAAAGAGTTACTTGCTTTCATTGCCGATATACATACATATATATATATATATATTTATTTATTTATATATATATATATATATATGTACCTTGGCAATGGCCTCACAAAGCCGAAACACAGCTGGTTGCAGCGGTTTCTGCGTCAAGCAGGGACAGTGCGATGATGCTGTGCGGTGGTGGCGGTACTTCGCCAAACCCGCCAATGCTCCGCAGGACCACTTCTATCACAGGTGGAAGCACCTATCGACACGTGGGATGTGAGTGGCATATGTCCGGCTTCACGAATTTTCGAGCTCGTCCCGTAAGGTGCGGTGGGACTTGCCACAATCCATCTGCATGAGCACGAACCTGAACAAGCAGCAGAATGCCAGGACCTGAAGCTCACAAGTCTGCAGTGCTTTGCAACCTTTATCAGGCCTATCAGGTAGATCTCAGCGTCAGGCGAAGAGACTACGCGCTCGCGCTCTGTCGCCTTGGACAGTAGGATGAACGCTTTCGGAGGGTGCAGCGCGTTCAAATTGCATGTGTCTCGTTTCCACACAGCATTATTACATCGACTGAGGCTGTTTGTGCACTATACTTCGCTGGTCTTCGCAGTTACAGCATGCCACGAGAAGCAAGCAAGTCTAAGTCTGGTCACGCGGAGCTGTTTGATCGAGCACATGCCCGCAAGCCTCCGCCCGAGCATTGCTCTCTCCCGACCGCGTCCAGGACCACATCCGACCCTGAAAGACGTGAGGGAGGTTGCAAGTCCGAGTCAACACAGCGCTGCCGCTGTAAAAGTACTAGGGTGCTACTCGTGGTGGCTATAAAGTAGCCAAAGCTGAAGAGTTCGCTTCCTGCTGATCACTGCACGACCAGTCTTGACTTCTCTGCCTGCACTGCGTCGGTACCGACGGGAGGCAAAAGCTACTGCTGGCCAAGCCGAACCCCCGAGTCCCGGAGCCAACTTCTCTTATAAGTTGAGAAATGAAATGGACACCAAGCCATACAAGCATCTTAACTATCGACACCCGACAATCTGAATCTCCGATGCATCACCGGCTATGGTGGCTGTGAGCGGCTGCGGAAGGGCGTTTAAAGGGAAAAGCACTGCTACCGTAGGCGTAGTCAAAACGGAGACAGAAAAATTGCGGATTCCTGACTTCGTGCTGAAATCACCGAACAGAGTACAAAGAACTTGGACAGCGAGCGCCAGTTAAATGATGCATCTTCAGCTGAAGTCACATCTATAGCTCGTGTGTAGCGAATCTCAAGCCTGTAAGCACCACCGGTCACTCGACTTTTTAAGCGTGGGCGGAGCCCACAACTCATGTCGGAACCCCTGTTGCAGGAGGGTCTTCTGCAATGCACGGATGACAGGAGTCCCGACAGGAGCAATGAGTGCTGGTATAGAGGGCCGCAACCTTGGGTGAAACAGTCAATCCTGTTGGAGTTCAACGAGCTACAGCAGGCTGTGCTAGCGGCCGTGAGCGTCGGAAGCCGACATGCCCAGGGCCTCCCGCGAGCACCTGATTGCAGTGAACCCTCAAGCGTTCCAAAGACAGGGGAAGCTTACTACATGGTTCCTAATATTTCCTACTGATACCTTTGTGAGGCAGGGGCCGCATGGTATGCCAAAGACAGCAGCAGCTCCACTGACTTTCCACTAGACCGAAAATCACGATTTTCTCCTGCGTACTGCATGCCGAGCAGACCCGAACCTGGATCGTCGAAACTTGAACTCCCCCCCAAGCCCGACGAGTGCATACCAAGAGGCTACGAAGAGTCGCCATCAGATCCAGAGCCTCAGCATGAGAATTGCATCTGAGTCTCTGCGCACGAATCACAGGTCCTGTTGCTGAAAGCGCAAAAGCCCAAAGCGGCGGCAAGCGTCCGAAGGGAAGAAGCTATGAACCATCAGTGTCTATCTATCGGTAGCATGCTGCATGTTTAAACTTCGTTATATATATATATGTACATATGCACGTACATACATACATACATACGTATACACACACATTAGGTGGCAAGCCTATAGATGGAGAGGTGTCTGTCCGCGTGTGCGCGTCCGTATCCGTATGCGTTGCGTGTAGCTACATGGATACAGAACCACAGGAAGAAATACATACCTGTGTCCGTATATGCCTCCACCATACCCATACATACATACATACACACACACACACACATCTGTGCGTGGTTGTGTTTATACATGTGGATACCCTTGCCAGTTGTTTTGCGAGTGTGCGTGCAATTGCTTCTTCTCACATGTGAGACAGAGCATATCTGCCTGCATCGAGGTGGGAAGACAAAAAACGTTCATGCGTTCATGTCGACATACTAATATAGACATTGCTGCAAAAAGCTAGCGATAAGTGGTAGCCATGTGCACAAACTTGCAGTGCACAATAGAAGCCTAGTGTGTGTGTGTGTGTGTGGCGGTTTCCTGCTGCACTTAATCAATGCTTGAGCTTGGTCCATGTACTTGTGCCATGTGCGAAGTTGCGCATGCACGTATGTATGTGTGTGGCTGTACATAGTGACGGAGAAAGAAAAGGACAGAGACAAGGAGCTAGCAGGAGAGAGACAAAGGGAGGGAGCCCAGACATGCAAGCAAGACCTTAGCATGACCACCTCTGAGCTGTCAAGATGAACTGGCTATTTGCTGAGCCACTTCTCCGCCGCTTGTGCTTCTGGCTTTTGCCACGACTC